AAAGAGAAGGACGTCAGAGAAGAAGCTATGTCAAGATGGAGGTGTAGCCAGCCCTGACAAAAGGTCCAGAGAGGGGCCCTCTGAGGCACATCGGGTTAAAGTGCAGCACCGTGAAGCTATCAGCAGCCACTGCAGCACAAGTACAATCCCTGGCCGGGGAGCTGACCACAGGGCACAGCAGGCCTCTCGTGTCCTGCCTGCTGTTCCCCTCAGCAGTATTTATTTCAGTCGATCTGCCTGTTCTGCTCCCCACTCTGTCTCTGGTGAATCCTCTCACACCCTCCACCTCTAGTCTGAGCCCCAGTTCTTGTATGCATAAATAAATAAGTAAATAAATCTTTTTTTTTTTTTTAAAGAGAGGTTGGGTGACCTGAGGAGAACCCAGGCAGTACATAAAGGTGATAGTGCTGAGAATTAACCCCTTGCACCACCAGGGAGAACCCTCTTTAAAGATTCTTCTTTTAGTTTTTCTGTTTTGTGTAGGCCAGAGGTGAAGGGAGTGTGACTATTCACCAGAGGTTAAGTGGTTCTACTGAGCAGACCAGTGGGATCTACTGAAATACACTCCTGAGGGAAGCAGTAGGTAAGATTGGAGAGTTCTGCTTAGTCAACTCGCTGGCCAGGGAAGCCTCAGATTCTTCATTTTAAAAGGGTGGGAAGGGACCATTCTCATATGCAGTAAAACCCAGAAGCCCTTGTTTCCCCAAATCAGAAAGAAATCTGGAGAAGGTAGTCTTTATTCTAGTTTTTTTTTTTTTTAAACCAAACCTTTCCACCCTCTACAATGGAGACTTAAGCTAGATAGCAAATTCAGCAAGTTACAACAAAACGTTACAGCAGAATTTAGGAGGTGGGTAGAGAGGAACTTCCAGCCAAACCCGCTGTTGCACGGGGTGGGGGTGGGGAGGGCTGGGGGAGGGGTCCGCCTTCCAGGGCCCGCCGGGGTGGATTTCCTGTCCTGGGCTGCTCGCTCTCGCCTCCCCACCTTTAACCCCCGCCCCGACACTGGCATCCTTCACACCAGATAGGTGTAACTTGGAGACAAAGTCTACCCAGGTAGGAAACATGACTGTTACTTAACTGCGCCGCACGGGCAGAAACGGCCCACGCGACTCCTCCCCAGGGCTCGGCGGCTCAGCCGACTTCCCTCCGCTCCCAACTCCCAAGTTCTCCGGCCCCGCGTCCTCCATTTCCGGTAGTGACCCTAAGTGACG